CACGGCATGGGGAGGACCGAAGGGGACTGGCCGCCCGGCTGAACGGACGCTGGGTGTTGCCATGGTACGGGGTTTTAATCATTCGGCATCTGTGGTGGGTTGTTTCGTGCTAGGGCAAGTCTCCGCTCGTTCCTGAAGACTGAGCATTTACGAGGCACCTGCCATGCCGCAGGGGCGGTGGTCCGCCCAGGCCGGGGGAGGGGCAGCATCCGCACTCTTGCTGGTTCACCCCCAAGCTGTGTTGGTTATTCGGCCAGCACCTCGCTGCCTTGATTGTAGCTTTATGGCGTGCTTTGGGGCTTTCTCTTGCCACTAACATTCGCGGTGGTTAGTGGGTGCCTACTGTGGGCCAGGCACTGTTGTGAGTGCTAGGCGTGAGAGTTTTGAGGCGAAGCCCCTGCCCTGATGAAGTTTATTCTGGTGGGGGCAAGTAAGTGAAAATGTGATAAGACGTCAGGTAATGCCAACTGTTGTGAAGAACAACCCAGCACATGCGGGACAGAGGAGATAGAGGGATGCTGCTTAAGAAAGAGAAATCTGGGCTGGGTGCAGTGGCTCAAGCCTGTCATCCCAGCACTTTGGGAGGCCGAGGCAAGAGGATTGCCTGAGTCCAGGGGTTCGAGACCAGCCCGGACAACTTGTCTCTACGATATATATTTAAAAAAAAAATGTTGGGCATGGTAGTGCATGCCTGTAGTTCCAACTGCTTGGAAGGCTGAGGTGGAAGGATCGCCGGAGCCCAGCAGGTCGATGCTGGGGTTTCCATAACGGTGCAACCACACTCCAGCTTAGGCAACAGAGTGAGACTCTGACTCCAAAACAAAGAGAAAGATCTGGGAAAGCCTCTCTGAGGAGGTGCCACTTGAGCCGACCTGGGCCTGCTCTTTGCCTTGTTACCTCTCCCCTTGAGCGAGTAGGTGCGCGAGGAGTTGCAGGGAAGGGCGGGGTGGGCGCACATGGAGTATGGTGGGCAGCTAGGAGTTGCAGGGTGAGGTATGGTGGGCTCACTGGGAGTTCCGGGGTGGGCTGTGGTGCAGAACGGTGCCCTGACTGCTGGTGGGCTGGGGCAGGGCCGCCGGGCCGGCAGCGCTGGTGACATGACGCTGTCCATGACGGGCCGGGAGCGCTCGGAGTACCTGCGCTGGAAGCAGGAGAGGGAGAAGATCGATCAGGAGCGACTGCAGAGACACCGGAAGCCCACCGGGCAGTGGCGGCGCGAGTGGGATGCCGAGAAGACCGATGGGATGTGAGTCATGTCCCCTCCCGCCTCGGCCTTGGCCCTGACCTTCGACCCCTTGGCCTCCCTGGTGTCTCCCCTTGTGTCGGCGCCATTGCTGTGTCCCAGAGAGGTGACAGCTGCCGGGTCTCGGCGGCCTGTGAAAACGTTTCTTTCCCACGGGTGTGTGGTGCGCCAGGCTCAACTGACCCAGGCTTGATGCCAAGCTGGGTCCCCACGCCTGGGTCCTCTCTGCAGGTTAAGCTCCGTCTGCTCCTGTGTGTTCCTTCTGGGGTCCCCAGCAGATGCACCAGTGGGCAAGTGGGTGCACTTCCCTTTGGTGCCAGCCAGCTCCCAGCCTCGCTGGATGGGGACATACACTGCCCGCTCTGGTGGATGGCACAGGGCGGCTACATGACTGACATGTGGATGTCACCACGTGGATGAAGAACGCTGGCAGGGATCTGATCTTTGCCTCCTCCCTCCGTCCTCTGACCTGTCTCCAGCCAGCCCCGAGCGAGCATCACTTTGTGTGGTGCCACTGTCTTATCCCAGTGGCATTGATAACCCCAAGTCTGAACCTGTCCCCTTTTGGTCCCGGGAAACCTCCAGTCAGTCAGACCTAGAGCAAGGGCCTCACTGCATCACTGTCATGAGGACCAGCTTCCAGGACCAAGCCGGAGAAGGTTCTGGAAGAGCTGTCACATGGCAGTCCTTAAAGATCAGCAACTCGAGGTTTTATTCTGCCCGTCCTTCCCTGTGTGGAAGGTTTTCAGATCCCTGTAACCTCTGTTTTTTGACTGTGGCTAAAGAAAAGGATTGTGTCTGTTTGCCTGGTAGTCAGTAGCCCTTGTTGTGTGGATTATGGGCCAAGCTTGTGCACATGGGAGAAATATTTTGCACAGATCCTGTAGCGGATCTTCCTAAGCAATTGGCAGTGGGGATTTCTGGGAGACACTCTCGGGGTTCAGGATGAGAAAGTGATTGGCTATCTTTTGAGTCCTCAAAGCAGCCTTCCGTAAGTCTAGTTAATAATACATGTGTGCACGCGGGTTCAAGACCTGCCTGAGCAGTGAGACCTCATCTCTACAATAAATAAAAAAAAATCAGCCGGGCGTGGTAGCGCGCGCCTGTAATTCCGGCTACTCAGAAGGCTGAGGTGGGAGGATTGCCGGAGCCCAGCAGGTCGAGGCTGTGGTGGCCGGGAGCGGCCACTGCACTCCAGTCTGGGCGACAGAAAGAGACTCCAACTCAAATAATAATAATAATAATGATAATAATAATACATGTGTACAGTGATTTTGTCAGTAAATATCTACTGAGTCTCCTCATATGTCTTGGAAGGTTCTAGGTGAGAGGGGATACAGCAGCAAGCATGTTTCATGGACCTTGGAGTCTAGTCACATGAGTGGTCTAAGGCGGCCAGAGTGTGAGGAGTGGTGAGGGAGTAAGCCAGGGAAAGATCAAGGAAGGGTGTTCTAGGAGCAGCAGATGCTAAGGCCCTGAGGCAGGAGAGGTGTGGTGGGGGAACCAGCTCGGCTGGAGTAGTGAGAGAGAGGCTTAGGAAATGAGGGCGGGCCGGGGCGGGGGAGCGAGTACTTTACAAAAGCCATGTGGCAACCCTCCAAGTTTTCTTTTCTTTTTTTTTTTTTTTGAGTTGGAGTCTCACTCTGTCGCCCAGACTGGAGTGCAGTGGCCGCTCCTCGACCTGCTGGGCTCCGGCGATCCTTCCGCCTCAGCCTTCCAAGTAACCAGAATTACAGGCGCGTGCTACCACGCCTGGCTGATTTTTTGATTTATTGTAGAGATGAGGTCTCACTGCCCAGGCGGGTCTCGAACCCGCAGGCTCAGGCAATCCACTCGCCTCAGCCTCCCAAAGGCGCGGGATTTTAGCCACTGAGTCCGGCTCCCTCCAAGTTTTTATTTGGGAGGGGACAGTCAAATTCTGAATCTTTTTCTTTCTGTTTTTTTTTTTTTTTTTTTTTGTCAGGGTCTCACCCTGTCACCCAGACTGGAGTGCAGTGGCACCATCAAGGTTCATCGCTGCCTCAGACTCCTGGGCTCACTTGATCCTCCTGCCTCAACCTCCCAAGTAGCTGGGACTACAGGCATGCGCCATTACACTTGGCTAATTTTTGGATTTACTTTAGAAATGAGATCTCACTATGTTGCCCAGGCTGGTCTCAAACTGCTGGCTCAAGCATTCCTCCTGCCTTGGCTGGGATTACAGGCATGAACCACTGCCTGGTCTCTTTCTGTATTTGTCACTATGATGTCACATTTGCCTGTTTATTACCTGATTTCATGGGTTTCTCATCATTGACCCCTGTCTGGCTGTTCCTCTCTGATCTGATTTCTGACCCCGGCCCCAACTCTCCCCCTTTCTCTTTCCCTCCTCATGTTCCCAGGTTCCCTGAGCCACCTGCTCACCTCATTCTCTTTTCCAGGTTCAAGGATAGCCCGGCCCCTGCCCATGAACCATCCCACCGCTATGGTGAGTGTGCCTCCCTGGACGGGGCGAGGCAGGGCTGGGGTGGGAAGGTGGCTTGTGCCCTGCCCTCCTCCCCGACGCCCCTGGGTTCTGTTGCAGATGAGCAGGCCTGGGCCCGGCCCCCCAAGCCTCCTACTTTTGGGGAGTTCCTGTCCCAGCACAAAGCGGAGGTCAGCAGCCGCAGGAGGAGAAAGAGCAGCCGGCCCCAGGCCAGGGCAGCCCCCCGTGCCTACAGGTGGGGTGCCCCTCCCTGAGTGCGCACGCCCCCAGGGCTATCCCCCAGGTTCTTGGTTTCCGAGGGCTGAGGTCTGGCTCTTGGCGTCACTCTCTTCGCCTCCCTTTCTGCCTCCCGCCTGTCTCCCCGGCCGTGGCACCTGGGGACAGCCTGTACCATTCCCTCAGTGCTCCAACAGACTGGGTCCTCTGGGCGGCTCCTCCCTGGGGAGGGGGAGGTAGGACGCCCCTTCCTCCTGTCCCCCGCCAGCAGGCGTTAGCCTTCCCTCTGTCCCCTCCAGTGACCATGATGACCGCTGGGAGACAAAAGAGGAGGCAGCATCCCCAGCCCCGGAGATGCCACCGCCCGCGTCCCCCAAGGAGACGCCTGCACAGGTGAGGCCAGGCTGCGTCTTGTGGCAGGGCTGTGGCGGCGCTCAGGGTCCGCCTCCTCCCTGACCGGCCTTGTGTCCCCACAGTCCCCTGAGACCCCCGCCCCCGTCCTCCGGCCTCCTGAGGACGAGGGAGAAGAGAACGAGGGAGAAGAGGACGAAGAGTGGGAGGACGTGAGTGAGGATGTGAGTGAGGAGGAGGAGGATGTCGAGGAGGAGGAAGAGGGCGACGAGGAGTGTGACGAGGAGGAAGAGCTGGTGCCAGGCCACCAAGCCCAAGAGGCCAGTCCTGCTGGGGACCCCAGCAGTGAGCAGGCCAACAGAGCACCCTCCAGGCCTGAGCAGCCCCTGCCGCGGCCCCAGGCGCCTGCCACGCCGTCCAGTCCCTTCTCGACACCTGGTGGCCACGAGCCTGTGTCTGACTGGGGTGAAGAGATGGAGCTGAATTCTCCGCGGACCGCCCACCCGGCCGGCACCTTCTCTCCGGGTGAGGC